CCTCCCTTGCCAGGGACCAGCCTCAGCTTGGAGAGGGGTTCTGAGAGAAGGGGTGTGTGGGAGTGGAGAAAAGAACAACTCAAGTAAAACTCAGCTTGTGGGCCCATGCTGGCGGCCTAGGCTCTGCTGAGATGGCTTTCCAGACTGCTGTCTGTCTGTCTGTCTGTCTGTCTGTCTGTCTGTCTGTGTGTCTCTGTCTCTATGTCTCTCTATCTGCCTCTGCCTCTGTCTCTGACTCTGACTCTCTGTCTTTGTCTCTCTCTCTGTCTCTCTGTCTCTCTCTGTCTCTGTCTCTCTCTGTCTCTGTCTCTCTCTGTCTCTGTCTCTCTCTGTCTGTGTGTGCGTGTGTGTGTGTTGTGTGTTCTGCTCTGCTCTAGACAGCTCCTTCTTGCTATTCAAAAAACTCTTTGGTTGAGACAGCTCTCTCTGCTAGCAAAAATTGCAAAAGCTATCTGAATAGCTCATGAGTTTTCTGACCAAAGTTAGAAAAACCGCTATAAAAAATTATTGGATCTTCTGACAAAGTCAGAAATCCTGTTAAGAAAAAATTCTCAATGAGCTGTTTTTGCTCTCCAGAGATCTCCAGCCAGCTTAGCTCTCGATAGAGAAAACTCAAAAGAACTGCTATCACTTTTTGCTAGCTCATCTCATGCAGACCAGTTTTTATTTAGATATCAATTTAGTTATTTATTCCAGGTTTCCCTTTGATTATCCTATGATCAGTATCCTGTGACCCCAGCCCTTTGATTCTTAGGAAACAGCAAGCATACATTTTCTTTTAACATTGCAAAATAATTCAGAGGTCTGCCTGCCTCCATTACACACAGATGCTAAGCTAGCTGGGTGGGATGCTGTCCTGAAGTGACCGTTTCTACCACACTTGTGCCTAACTTGCTGTGTCCCAGGCTGACCTTGAACTCAGGAATCTGCCTGCCTTTGTATCTCTCTGACAAGCTGGCTCATTAATGCAGCTGCCTTGTTCTTTTAGATTCGTGAAGCCCTTCATATATTTCATATTGCATCCTTATTTTTTGCATAGTTGAGAAATTGTATATTTTCAAACTCATGTTTTTAGAGTACTTTTCCACATTCTTAAGGGCTGTCCTGAAGGTCCCAGTGTAGACCATTTTGCTGAGATGAAGCCACACCCTTGACTCCTGGACTCATGCTGTTTCTAATTATCATGCAGTCATTAATGTTACATTCCTAGGAGGATGTGAAAATATGTACATTATTATACAAACAAGCCTTACACCCACAACCACCATTGATACTCATGGAGGCTCACACCAGGGCCTTGTCCCAGGGGCAGGAACCATGTTACTCTGTCCCCACCAGGGCACTTGGCACTCCCTTATTCTACAGAGATCCAATAAACCACTGGCTAAGCCTTTCTGATGTTCATTAGGGATTCCATTTGGGGACAGTACAAAAGAAGGTGTATGGAAGGGGTGACTTCCTGCCCTATAGTCATTTCTCCACTTCACGGGGCTGCTTGAGTGACATGCATTTCCTAGAAAAACAGCCAGGTGGACCCTCCCGGAGTCACCACACACTCCCCGCTCAGAGGCAAGCTACTGCTCGCTAGAGGGAAGAAAAAGATCAGAACTTACCACACAGTTTTCTTATACTGGGCCTTGAGCTGACTTGCCTTCTGATTACAAGCAGCTCACCCAATTTTACCTCCACCTTCAGCCAAGTAAAAAGGCTGTGTGTTCTTCTACCCTCCTTAGAAATCCACATTTAAGGAACTGACTGCAAATTTATAAAAAGATAAACAAAGACAGAGTTTCTATTGCTGGCTTTCCTAAAAACTGTTTTAACAGGACTCAGAAACACCTAGGTTTTCATAAGGTCCTTTTGTAGAATGCTGTCTTCTGATTTTAACAGCCATTGCCATGTTAATTAGAGCAGCCCTGTTGACACTCCCTCATAGAAGAAGGTGGCAGTGATGGTCATTACACTCTTACTGAGCCACTGCCCTCTATACATCTTTCCCAGAATCCCCTCTTTTGTATGTGATTCTGTCTGAGTTGCAGGTATCTCCTGGTGCCAGGAGATGCTAAAATCCATGGATCATGGGAGGCTAACCGAATGGAGGAATCTGTCTGCAGTGTCAGGAAGTGACACTCTGGTGGTGTAGCCACTAAGCATCCACATGGTTGAGGTGGGGATGGAGGGAAACTGGGTGTTTGGCCACAGGGTTGAAGCTACCCTCATGCTGGAAACCCTTACATGAACCAGTAAATTTGTTTCTCCAAGGCAGACTGAGTCAGGGGTTTCTGTTATTATAACAAAGCTACCACAGCAGTGTGTGATGAAATAACACTTGCAGTCTCGTTCCTAGAATGAGGGTGGAGGCAGCACTGTCAAACATTGGCCATCAAAATAGCGTTAGGGGTTTGTAGAAAAGAAATGAGCAGTTTCCTCCAATTCTGGCTTTCTTTCTCTTCCTACCCCCTCAAGTGCTGAAGGATGCACTTGGATAAATCCTATTTGGTGAAGTCAAGTGAATTGAAGACTCTTTGCTTTGCAGCAGAGTATATGAGTCCCACGTTGTCAAGTGTAAGACATCCTGCTAGTGTTACTAATCTGGATTTTCCTTCCCCTTCAATGTAGTATAATATACATTATGACCTTTTGAATATCACTGTGAACTGCTGTTATTGTTTATCAAAGATAGGCGTAATAATTCCCCACCTGCTAGGTGAAGGTACAGCATGGGTGTCCTTTTGAGCCTCTTGGGATTTGGGAGCCACTTTTGAGTCCTCTTTACTTTGAGAAGTATTGAGAATTGAACTTCCAGTGTCATCATAGGGAGCATCTCTCCTGCTGAGCCCCAGCCATCGCGCCTGAATCCTCTTCATATCTTACCGCTGAGCAGATGTTTTCAAGTATCTATTCATAATGCAAAAACTAGACAAATCATTTTGTATCTGATTAAACCTACTAAGGTGTGCTACACTGTGGATTCTCCCTCCGTTTATGCTAGAGAGCAAGACAGCTGCATTCTGTATCTCATCACAATTGTTGAAGAGTGTCCCTTGAGATAGAACTAGCCCCAAGGGATAACTTTGACCTTTCTGATTTCTTAGAAACTGCAGCAACCCCAATACAACTTGTGTCACAAATTCCTTGAAATCCTTTTTTGTCCCCTTTCCCCAGCTATAAATGCAACAGAAGACTGTGCTCTGTCCCCTTCCCAGGTGGGAGAGGGACAGCAGTCTCCCGTTCTGACATAGTCCTCTTGGCTTGCCTCTCTTGTTGCCTTGCTTGTGCAAGGACTTGAGGTGAATGGCTCCACGTGTCCAAAATCCAGGCAGCCTGAGCAAGGAAAGCCTTGGCCAGGCTGGTCAGCACTGAGTGCCAGAGATGATATGAAGCCAGGACCCATGTGGACTTAGTGGGCAGAACCATCCCTAAGACCTAATGGCTTGCCCATCAAAATGTATACACAAACAATTTATTAAAGAAATCCTGGTTCTATGTCATTTGGGATTGTCTCTTTACTGGCTCAATGGACACACAGCCCTTAGCATCCATTCTTATCAAGGATGCCATTCAGGTCCCCTGGAAATGCCATTACAATACACTAAGAAATGAGGTTGCAGTCTGAATGGCACTGAACGCCAATGATAGTGCTTACAACTGGGACCAAAATGAAAGGGTCAGTTTGTAAAGTCGTCTCAGCATGAATGACATGATTCCTAAATTAGATAGTACCATTTCCAGGTGGACATTCACTCATTTTTTAATTTTAGTATTTAATATTTAGTATTCCAATTTCTTGTTAAGAATTTGTTAGCCTGTCATAGTATCTTAATGTGCAATTACAGCAACCCAGAGGCTGAAGCAGGAGACCAGGTGAATTCAGGGCTAGTCATGACTACAAAGTAAATCTCAAACAAAGAATTAGCATGATTTTACAACAGTTGTACAGAGCATTGTGCTTGAGGCATGGGCCTGTTGTCCTAGTTAGGTGGAAGGTCAGACAGGGTGACTGAGCCTGGAGTTCTAGGCCAGCCTGAGCAGAATAGTGAGATCCTGTAAGAAAGGAGAAAGAGAAGGCCACAGCTGAGCACTGACCACACGGGCATTACTCTTCAATTTTGTGGATGGGCATGAGGTAGGAGTTAGATGGTCTTGTAAGGAATAGTACAAATAACAAAGCTAACGTGGGTGATGAGGTTAAATTATGGTGCATTTGTGAGGTAATTTGTACTTAGCTCACTATAATGTTGGATGTTATATTTGGGGTGATGTCTAGATCTGAGTATGGATGGCTTTGAGCCCTTCAGCAGGGAAGTCTCTTCTAATTGAAGTGATGAGCTCTTAGGCAGGGAAGATAGTCCAATTTGACATTAACATAATCTTAGTTGTAACAGTATTGTTTAAAGAGAACATTTTTAAAACCCATAAACCGATTTCTCTTTTGTGTCTAAATGGTGCATGCAGAAACCACCAGCTCACCATCAGAAATGAGACTCCAACTCTGATTAAATTATCACCCTTGGCGTTTTGCTGACATTGGCTTATATAAAAACCACAGCTTTTCTGTTTCACTGGCATGGAAGTATAGTCGTCAGGGTGCTAAGAGAACACACCTTACTTCCTAACAGCTTACTTCCTAGCTTTTAAATATTTAGCTTCGTGGCATATGGGTCCCTATCTCTCTTTGGATCTAATGTTGGTGGTGGGCCCTAGCAAGTGGTCCAGGTTCTGGAGGCCACGCCCTCGCCGCCCAACTGCTTGAGGATTGGCTGTTTTAGGCCTGGGGGGTGGGGGCTGGCTAGGATCCGGATGAAGTTGGGGTGACTGGCCCTGGGTTCCCAAGGGTTCTGACACGCGTGGACCAAGCCTGGGTGTCCAGCCGCGCTCTGTCTCAGCGGACCAGGGGTTCTCTGACCCTGAGTCAAGCTCTCCCGCCCCTCCCAGTGCGTCCAGGGTTCATCCTATCTCGGAGGGTTGAGCATTGGGGCCTCGCGTGGGTGTCCGCAGCCTGGGCGCTAGCCTCGGGGCCTCTGGGGCCGGTTCCGGGGCCTGGAGGGGCTGCAGGAAGCGGAGGCAGCTCCAGACGCCCGGATCGAAGCGGGCGCAGACACCCGAAACGGCTGGGGTGGCCGCGAGGCGGCTGCTGAGTAATCCCGGGCGGCGGGTGGGGGCGGCCGGGCGCCCACGTTCCCCGCGCCGCAGCCCGGCGGCGGCTCCGCCTTCGCGTCCCTCCCCGCCCCCTGCCGGCTGCTGTGCTCGGTTCCCGGCAGGTCGGAGCCGGGCTCGGGGAGCGCGGGCCACTGCAGCCCCTCCCGCACCTCGCCTCGGCCTGCGCGGGGCCTCGTGCGCTCATGGCCGGCTCCGAGCAGCAGCGGCCGCGGCGGAGGGAGGACGGCGACCCGGATGCGGCAGCGGCGCCCCTGCAGGACGCGGAGCTGGCCCTGGCTGGCATCAACATGCTTCTCAACAACGGCTTCAGGGAGTCGGATCAGCTTTTCAAACAATACAGGTGACACCGGCTCCCCCGACTCTCTGTCCAGGCTGCGCGCACCGGGTGGTCATCTCGCGACCTGCGCTGCTCTCTTCCCTGCTCCCCTTCACTTCCCAGAGCTTTCTCTGTAGCCTTTGCTCCGCGTCTTAGCCCCATCCTCCTCCCCTCCCCATCCCCCGCTGCGCTGACCCTTCCCTCCCTGCGACCGCAGTCCGGGCTCACTTTCTGCCCTCTGAGGGGTGTCCTCTGCTGCTTTTGAGCTGTCGCCTGGTCTCCCACCGCGCATTGGCTCAGGGGACTGATGAATTGAGGCAGCAGCGAGCCTGGCACTTGCAGGGTTGGGACTCTGGCTCGCGCGCTGCCAGGACAGCCTTTGTGACCTGAGCACAGCCTTGCCAGGTCCTTGTGTGGCGCTTTCCTTTGTATACCTCGATATTCCTGGTGCTTTTGTTATTTAAAGACAGTGTAGTGTAATTGTTGCTCTGTGGAGGAACTTAAACATTTCAGCCCAAACTCTGATCACCCATCTCTTCCTCATCCTTCAAAAATCAAGATGAGTTCGGATGCCTTTCAGGAGAACCGATTTATTAAGAATTACCTAGTAAGAAAATAGAGGGATTTTTTAAAATACGGAAGAATGAAGAGGAAACACGTGTGCTGCGTTAATTTTTGTTTGCCTTTGAAAAATTAAGCCCAAGATCTAAGCCCTGTTGTTAAAGAAGCCTGGGAAACTCAAAGCACCCTGGTGTTCTGCTTCAGGAAGCAAGCTGGCTCACCTGTGAATGTGGAAGGGCGGTCAGATGACTAGTAGCTGTCCTCAACATGTTTAAGGGCGGGCGTTTCAGACTTTCTTGAGCTGAGTAGTTTAGATCGAAATGAGCGAATCCCGGTGTAGTTGTGATGGAGCAAGAGTGTGATAGTCAGTGAGGAATGCTTAGACTTTAAAGAACGGTGGTTTCCACAAGCCCAGTCACTGCACTCCCACAGCAAAGCAGGCAGCTTACAACCAGGAACTTTCTACCAAATCTGGTTTACTTTGTTGTTTTGTTTTTGAGACATAGTGTACAGTTTGTAGCTCAGGCTAGCCTCGATCTTCCTATCTCAGCCTCCTCAGGGTTAAGACTACAGGCTTGCACCCCCACACTTTGGCCCTACAGCAAACTACTTTTAAGTCAACTTCTTTTCACCTTTATGGTCTGAAAATGAGAACAACTTAAGAATGTCGTATTTAAAACACACACACATACACACACACACACACGCGGATGCACATGCACACACACACACACACTATGTGCGTTTGATTTAAGCTTTATCAAAGATTTTGATGAAAGATTTTTTTAAAAAAATTTACTATGTTATTGCTTGCTTGTAGGTTTGTTTTAATTATTAAATTTTTTCGGGGGGGGGGGATGGGCTTTCACTATGTATCTTTGGTTGGCCTGGAACTCACTATGTAGATCAAGTTGTAATGTTGCTGTCACACTGGAAGCAGGAAACCTAATCATTATCTAGCCTGCTGGGTCACAACCCCTTTGGCAAAGCTGTCTCCAAAAATATTTATATTACAATTCATAGCAGTAGCAAAATTACAGTTATGAATTAGCAGTGTAAATGATTTTATGGTTGAGAGTCAGCACAGCACGAGGAACTGTATTAAAGGGTACACAGAGATGCATCTTGAATGGAAGTTTTTCTGTAGCAGAAAAGACCAGGAGGTATGTAGCTTGCATTTTCCAGTGGGAACTGAGAATGAAGTAGAAAAAAGACTGTACTATGTGTTTGTTGTGAAGCAAAAGTTCATGCACATTCCCTCATTCCATTTCACTGTCCTCCCCAGCCAGAGCCTGAGATGATGGCATCCACAGGTCCATCACCTTGTTCTAAGTCAGACTTTGATCTCACCAGTCTCCTCCGTTGCTAAGTGTGTTAGATAGTTACAGTCAGCCCCGGGCCTTATTTACCAGCATGGTTACAAAGCTGCTGTTGGGATGGAGGGAGAGAAGACAGGATGACTGATGGTATTATCCTATCAGCTTTCCCTTGCTCCATCTGGTGTGTTGGAATGTGGAAAGACCTTGCATTCCTCCCACCCCCAATGTGTGCTACTCTCAGCCACATGCTGGGAAGCACGGTTGCATAGAAGAACGTCCAGGGAATGGCTTCCAGCAGCTGAGCTTCCAGTCCTAGTCCTGTCCTTTTGTAGATGCAGATGTTTCAGTTTCTCAAAAACGACTTCATTGCCTGTAAAATGAAAGTAGTGCTGATAGTACCCGCAGCACAGTGTGATTGCTTGTTTACTTAGCTGGAGGAGAGCTGGGGACAGGGATGTAGCTCAGTTGAGTTCTTGCCCACTGTGCATGAAGCCTTGGATTCAATTCCTAGCACCACTTAAACTGGGTGTAGTGCTGCATGTGTACAATTCCAGCATGCTGGGGTATGGGCAGGAGGATCAGAAGCTTGAGGTTGGCTTTGGTTACATAGTGAGACCGTCCTGGGATACAGAAGACAGTCATTGTCTGTCTGTCTGTCTGTCTGTCTGTCTGTCTGTCTGTCTCCCTCTCTTCCTCCCCCTGCCTGTATGAACAAGAATCTGTGGAACCTGGTGTCACCTATCACACAGGGAAAGGTGTGCTATCTCAGTGCCTGTGCCCTCACCACTGTTTCAGCACAGGGCAGAAGGCCCCTTTTATGCAGATAGCTCTGATATATGTAATTTAATTACTTCTGTTTTATTTATTTATTTATTTATTTATTTAATGTATGTGGGGGCTGGGGTAGGTATCATCATGTGGGACCTGGAGATTAAGCTGAGATCCTCAGGCTTGGTGGCAAGCACTTTTACCACCTGAGTCGTCTTGACAGTCTCTAGCTCTCCGATGAAATGCTCACTCACCTCATACACTACATTTAAGGGTCAGGTGATGCTTTAGGAAACTTTTTTAAATTTTTTTTTCTGTCAGAGTAGTAAATGGGCTGCTGGAAACTCAGCATTGACTTCCGGACAGTGTTTGAGTGTCCCGTATGGTTCAGCTCACCCACACAGGAGAGAATGAGATTACTAGCAATTTCCTTCTCACTGTCTTCTGAGTGAAGAAGTGTCTTCATGCTCCCTTTTGGGTAAAATGCTCTCCTCGGATGAACAAAGAAACACTGTCTATCTAGCATTAAAATAACTTATTTTTAGAGGTCATTTTCTCATGCTACATTAAGATGAGACATTTTATCAGTGGGTACTGCTTGTGCAATGACCACTTCATAGAAACTACTTACAGTGAAAGCCATTCTGGATTGTATAACCTAGATGTTCCTATGAGGATTAGGAATATCTGCACAGCAGAGACTGTCTTCTGATGTCAACAAGACCCTGGTTGGAGGTTGCTAACAGCTGCTCCCTCTGCAAATGACAGTACTCATACAGTGACAAGATGCCTGTGCTTGGTGCTCAGCCACTGCCAGGCACTTAGAGCTGTTTCCACAGAGACCTGAACAGGTTTGTGCAGTGGTATGAACATGTTTCCTGTCTCTCTGGTCTATTGAAGTTAAAGGCCTAGTTGGAAGAGATGGAACTTTTGCAAGATGGTTAAAGGCTTGGCACTTTTGGAAGGGGAACCTTTAGGAGGTGGGACCTAGTCAAATGTTGTTAGGTCACTGGGGGCTTGAGGTTATTTCTCATGGTACCCTCTGGTAGTTCTGAAAAGTCTGTCACAAAAGGGGTAAGCCTGCTTCTACCTATGACATATGACTCTCTACTCCTAAAGCCTGCCTTCATGTACTACTGTGTACCCCACCCTCAACCCCACCCCTTACTATGGCATCAACTGATCCTGAACTTTGAACCTCCATAGCACTGAGCTCAAGGAAAAGTGCTGTATAAGTACTGTGTCGGGTATTTTGTGATTGTCTGGAACTTTGCAGCTTTGAGCCTGAGGTTTGTTTCTAAGTTGACGATGCCTCTGTTCTCAGAGCTCAGTGATCTTATGCAGCAGGCCACATACTGACTGATGTTGGCTTCTGTGACACGTTCAGACCTTGGGGCTGATGCTAGGACACACTTGGTGATGGTGCATGAGAGAGTCTCAGTGTTGTGCTGTGCACAGACCTCAGCAGCGAGGCGAGGAAACAAACCCACTCACTCCCAGGTCATCGGAGTGCACACCAGTAGGTGGACTGTGCTGAGCCCAGTCAGAGGCCATTTTACAGAGGAAACACTGTTTGAACTTGATGCTGAGGCAAGAGTAAGCCAGTTGAAGGAGAGGAGCTGGGGGAAGATAGAAGGAGAGGTGAGAGATGGCGTGGTTTAAGCCGAGTCTGGGAGAGGAGATGGGTAGATGCCCAGCTAGGGGCAGACATGGAGCGAAGCTGTAGTGGAGTGAGCAGCAGCTGACGTTGCATGGGTAGTTTATTCTGTCTTTGCTTCTTCCTCTCCCCTCTCTGGTCATGTTGCATGTGAGCCAGTGCTTTCTCTTAGGGTTAGGCATCAACTCACTGTCCCTGAGACATTGTGTGTTTGTGATGTCATGTCCATAATCAGCTCCTTGGGGCTCCTGGGTCCTGATGTCACACAGTCATTTCCTAATTTTGTCCTGAAGGGTTTTTAATCAGGGCTGGTAGGAAAGGGGGCAGACATGAAGCTGAGGATGACCAGGGACATGAGGAGCTCCAATGACCTTTGTCATTTCCATAGAACTTACCGGATGTTTAGCCTCCTTCCTCCCCTAATGGTACCAGCACATCTCCTGCTTGTCATCTTTTTAATTAATTTATTTTTTGGACAAGGTCTCATGTAGCCTAGGCTAGCTTTAGACTTGCTATGTAACAGAGCAAGTACTTCTGATCTATCCGTGTCCCTCCTGAGTAGTGAGGTAACAAGCACACCCCACCATGTCCAGTTTATATAGTCCTGGAGATCAAACTTAGGGCTCCATGCACCCCAGGAAGCCATTCTACCAACTGAACTACTCCCAGCCCTCTCTTGGCATTTTTTTTTTTTTTTGGCATTTATAGGTCTTACTGAG